CGTTCCAGATCGCTTGAGACTTGTTGAGCCCTCTTCCTTTTCGAGAGAAAGTGGGCAGTGAAGAGATTCAAAGGTCAACGGGAATCGGCCCTTGTTTTCTGACCTTTAAACGTCTTCATCATGCACTCTCATGTCAAATAACAGTTTTCCCAACAATTGTATCTTGGGTTATTCATCAAGTCCCAGTTACTCTTCGTATTTAACATACTCGATTCACCGATTTCATGCGTTAAAAAGGCTTTACAACCCGTGACATTTGCTTCGCCCAATTACATTTTGACATGTTTCTGGTGACCAGAGCACCTCGACAACTCAGGCTCGTCTCTAATTCACTAATGAATATTTCAGGCCTTAGATACAGCAATTTCTCGTCCTCCCAGCTACTGTCATTTTGGGCCTATCTCGCCCTCCCTTCTACCTCCACTACCGGGCCTAGAAACGTCCGATTTGGGCTCGGTTAGGACGAGAAATGATAGAAATCGCTTGCTCTTGTCTCTTCGTCTTTCCAGATTGTTTGCACCGAAGCCTGTATAGTCCTTTCATTGTCTGTTTCCAACGCCGTCCAGCATATCCCCCCTCGAGGCATCCTTCCATTCGGTCTCTAAGTCAATTGCCATGCCCACACGTGCCAAAGTGGCAGAGCCTCGTCTGCAATAGGCCACCATGAGAGGTAGAGAGCATGCCACTTTGAGAATTTGCTGATGGAGGACAAATCGGTGGGGTCATCCGAAGGTCTTATTACGAGCAGAACTTCCGACTTTCAACCCAACTTTCCCACCGATAAAATAGGGCAATCTCGGTTTTAATAGGTCAGAACATTTACGAGCAATTCACTGATGCTTAATAACTTCATCATTCTAGGTCGCTTAAGGAGATTCAGCGAATGATATTACAGTTTTCCACGCAATGATGCCGTCGAATTGCCCTTAGTCTTGCTACCCAAATGGCCATTTCATCCAAGCTGGGCTGAATTGCATTCATGGCCTCATCAGTCTACCCAAAAGAACTTGAAACCGGGTCGTGCGAATCGTCAAGACATGCTCCAACTCTGCAACATTCCGCCGCTAATGCCATAAGGAAGATGTGCCTTTTAAGGCTAGCCATGTCTTGCAAAAGACAAATAAGAATTGACTGACCTCATTTACGCTACTTGATCGTGTTGTCAAGGCGACTTAGTATGACGTAACTTGCCCGAAGTCCTCAGCCATAATAGTTGTCCTAATTTCCAGCATCAGATCGTGGACTTGGTACATTCTCAGACGAGTTGTAGCCTTGTGCTGCGAATGACAAGACTCACTGATGAGGCCGACTATGATTCCGGCGGGTCGTCGGAGAATGTACCAAGTCCACGGTCTGATGCTGGGGATTATGATAGCTATTACAGCAGATGACTTCGTATAAAGGGCATCTAAGGGAGTCGACCTGACAACACGACCAAGTTGCGAAGACGAGTTTGGTCCGCTTCTATACATCGAACAGAGACTACGACCATAACAAATGCCACACCATCTTAGTCTTTAAGCCTGAGAATACTTAAATAGTTAAATTGTCCAATATTATTAGTATTGCATTGAAATTATAATTTATTACTAGCAAAGTGGTTAAAAAAAGAGACTTATTGTCACTACACTATTTGGTTTGGCGTGATTAAGGACTAGTATTTGAATTTTCTCACATTCATATGAGTAGACATCATATACGTAAGGGCTAATCACA